CCTTCCTTCCTTCCTTCCTTCCTTCCTTCCTTCCTTCCTTCCTTCCTCTTCTCTCACTCTTTTTCTCTCTCTTTTTCTCTCTCTTTCTTTTCTTTCTATTAAAAATTGCAAAATGAGCTATAGACGAAAGTAAAATCTCTGAATCGAATTAGTCCTCCAAATGAACCATTGAATAATATAAGGTGCCTCCAAAAATATTCCGATGGACTCAAATACTTCTGAATGTGCTATTTCTTTCCAAGGTAATCCAGACATCTGAATCGTATCCGTTTTCAGAACCAGAAGCCTGAATCCAATTATACTGCAAATTCAGATTGAAAACCAGTGTCAGATTTTTTGCCCGATTTATACATCCTTCTAAAAGAGTCCGGTATCACTCTACGGTTTGTCAGGTAGAACTCTGAGCATTCATGTCCTTCTCAGAAACTGAACAAATGATGCACCTGGCCAAGCAATCACATTTTCTGTGCATTTTTCTTTTCCAACCTTCTGGCTTGCAGGTGAGAAGGATGCATAAAGTTCTACTCGCTTTATGCTTGCCTTTCTTGGGAATTTTAAAGGTGAGGGACAAATTCATCAAGTCTGGAAACTTCGATTCAACCTGTACTTCAAAGCGCTGGTTATCACTTTTAAAACCTGAAATGGCCTGTGGACAAATTATTACTTGGACTGCCTTCTCCCTGAGGATATATCTGCCTGTCCTGTTGGGTCACGTAGAGCGAATTCCAGGTCCCTTTTTTGTAAATGTGATCTAGCAAGAACTGGAAGGCCTGCCTTCTCTGTAACAGCCCCTGCCCTGTAGAACGACCTTCCCTTTAGATCTGGCAGCCCCCTTTCCCACCATCTTGGAAGGCTTTGAAGAGTTAGAGCTTCCCACCAGCCTTGGAGTAGTAGAGTGAGGCTGGGATCCAATAAAGGTGTAGTAAAGTATTTTCTTTGGGGGAGGAACACAAGATTTTATGTAGTGATTCCATAGTTTTTTAGTGTTTTCGTTCCTGTTTTGTGAGCCCCGTTTTTTTTCTGGATTGCGGTACAATAAGATAAGGGGCTCTATAACTCTTTTAAATACATAACGTCAATATGGTTAAATCAACGTTATCCCAGGTGTGTCTCATGACCTGCATTTACTTTGTTCCCTGTCCAACATCCCTTGGCTTAGTCTTTCTGCTTAGCTGATCCCCATGCGGAACAGAAGGGGGGAAAACTAGTTGCGTCAAGTAATGAGAAAGGAAAACTGGTGCAAATGTTCAGTGACGTAAATACAGGCATAATCTTTTGTCTTTCAGTTCAATTTAACACCTAATCTGAACTATTGGTATGGAAAATGAAGCTGCACAGATTTTAAATCAAGGAAATGGAAATTCATCAAGAAGGAGAGAAGCAACCTAGAACTAAGGAGAAATGTCCTGACACTTAGAACAATTCGTTGGTGGAATGACTTGCTTTCAGAAATTGTGGGTGCTCCAACACTGAGGATTTTCAAGAAGAGATTGGACAACCCATAGTATAGGGTCTTCTGCTTGAGCAAGTGGTTGGACTAGAAGACCTCCAAGGTCCCTTCCAACTGTGTTACTCTGTTATTCTGAAAATCCCAAGTTGGGGTGTAGATTTGGAAGTTCTCCCTTTAATACATTCCCCTTTCTATTGGAACAATTCTGGGACCACGGACAGCAAGGATGGGAGAAGGTGCCATGAAGTTCTTATTCTCTGATCCAGAAGCCTTTAAAAGCCTCGGAGAACAGGAGGCCCCCCTGACCCTCTTTCCCATCCCCCAGAATTGCGGGCGCACCAGGTCCTCTCCGGCCTTTCCCACAGCCTCAACCTCACCACGCACCTGAGGCTTGGCCGATGGAGACCCAACCCTGGAGAAGGGAAGGGACACCCGCTCCTCACCTGGGTCGGCCAGCAAGACCTTGGCCCCGCTGGCTTGGAAGCTGTGCACCAGCGACCGTCCTCGGATGTTGCAGTTGAGGCAGGCCAGGGCGCAGCCCAGCTTGGCGCAGCCCAGCCAGACCCAGAGGTAGGCGGGCTGATTGCCCAGGTAAAGGGCCACGCCGTCGCCCTGCCGGAGCCCGGCGTGCTCCCGCAGAGCCCGCGCCACCTGGTTGCTGCGCCGCTCCACCTGCTGATAGGTGTAGACCTCGTCGCGGAAGAGGAGCAGCGGCTTGTCGGGCGCCCGGCGCGCTCGCTGCCCGAACACCTCCAGCAAGGTGCGCGGAGGGCGCCGCGTCGCGCCCTGCCTGGCCCGCCGCCCCACGGCCAGCAGCTTCAAGAAGAACCACAAGTCCTGGAAGAAATAAGAGCACGCCAGCCTCCCCAGCAGCGGCAGGAGCAGCAGCCCCGCCAGCGCCGTGCAGAGGCCCGAGAGCATGACAGGTGCCCCAGACAGGTGTCCCTGCTGGCCGAGCTGGCAACAGGTGCGCCGAAGAAGCCACCGGGCGCTCGGGGGACCTGGTGGCACCCAGGAGGGGCGTGTCCAGCTCCTCGTCCCTCCCCTTCTCTCGCCCCCTCGCCCGGACGCGCAGAAAGAGGCGCGAAGTGCGCGTAACCGAGCCTCCGGAGCGCTTTCCGCGATGACTTACCTTTCCAACCAGGTTTCCACCGCGGGAAAAAGTTTCACTGCTTAATCTGTCTCCCAACTCCCCCCCCCTCCGCCTTTACACAGACAGGTAAGAGTCTGGCGGCACCTGGAAGTGAGAAGGTACTGTCCTGAAAGCCGCACAGGTGTAGCTGGGGACAGGTGATGTTGGCCAGGAGATGGCTTCCCAAAGTGATTGGCCCATTGCTAAGGTGACCCAAAGGAGCATCCCCAATATGGAATGATGTTCCTGTGCTAGATGGCGTTAGACCCTTCCATTCTCCACCATCCGGTCAGAGCTGAAGAAGCTTCTTGGACGAGAAGCGAAACGTCTTCAAAGAAAAACCAGAAAGTCTAGTTGCCTCTTGAAAAGAAAAGCATTTTTGGGGAAAACCACGACCTGATGGGTGACTGAGAATCTCCATAGACAGAACAAGCTAGATGCATCTATTAGTTGCAGTAATAAACTGCAGCTTACAAACGTCAATGGTTTTTATTGAAATGGGACAATAGGAAAGTAAATTGGGCACAGAATTTAATTCCTGAAAACGATGCTTCTATTATATATGAGTTCATATTATGTCTGAAACTTACATTTCCCTTAACGTAGTCCTGACATTCTGATTTTCAGTGATATGTTAAAGAATGATAGATTTTTCACTGTTTGGGCATAAATTACACACATTTCTTATTTTATGGTTTATACTTTGCTGCTTCTTGCTGTTGATATCTATTTATTACTTGCATTTTAAAATGGTCATCAATTTTAAAAACGGTGTAAGATATTGGAATACTAAAAATTCACGCCTAACATAGTTCTTTTAAATTCTATCAGGCTTCTAAATTCACTGTTTCTTTTTTCCTTTTTTCCTTCTTTTTTCTTTTCCTTGTCAAAATATTTAATAAAATTGTAATAATATAAAATGAAAGATAGAAACATGCCCTATATAGATGTAAGCTTTTAGAGACTCTTAAGATGTCCACTAGAGGGAATATTATACCGTGAAGTCTCAGTTTCTTTAAAAAAACAACAACCTCGTTCAATAGAAATCATATTGTAATCAGCAGGTGAAAGTAGTAAAACAACCAACCAAAAGGAAGTTATTTTTTAATGGCACACACACACACACACACACACACACACACACACACCTTAAACAGATTAGGTTGCTTTTGTGTTTAATTGTTGCTATACTCATTATTATTTTTATTGAATCACGAGACTTGGAATGGAAAGGAATAAATGAATTGTGTTCATATTCCGTTTAATTTTTTTTTTTTACTGAAAGACAACTTTTTAGATTGCTCCAAGGTAAACTGAATGTTAAGGATAAGCGTGTCAATGCTTGCTAAGAAAAAAGTCTGGAGTTTGTGTTGGAAGAATTATCCTTCTGGGTTCAGTTCCAAGTGGGGGAAAAAGACACTGGAAACATGGAGGCTGTTTGGAAAGATGGTTTAATGGTGGACAGGAAGGATCACATGCCTTGGAGCTCTTGGGCAAAGAGATGCTGAGAGTCCCTGGGTTTTATACCCTCTTTGGTTTTAAATTTCCTGGGCACAGGAACAATATCCTGATTGGTTGCTATCAGAAGTCATAGCTAGCTTTGTAGGTTGTCTGTGTGCTAGGTTTGGTTGAAACTTGATGAGTGATGCAATAAAGGGCAATTAAATGGCTCTGCCTGAAGGAGGTAGATCTTTGTTATGTAGAATAGACTGGCCCAGGCCTTAATGGACCATTAACAAAGGGGGTGGGGGCTGAGTTTCTGCCCTTTTGAGTTGCTACTTCTCTTTTAGGGGAAACATTCTGCCTTTTTAATATATCCTAAAATATTTCATTTTTCTAGGAGAAGGGTGGGTTTTAACTTCCAACATTTGTAAGGAATATTTTCTTTGGCTTGATTTTTAATCCTATTTTGGGGTGTGAATTTGCTGGATTTTCTTGCATTTCCAGCCATAGTCTCTGGCTTTCAAATTCTATCAGCAATTGCTATCATATGCTGTATGTGTCAGGATTCCAGCGATCGTTTTACAAGTTGACAATATGCTTATTAATTTTCCTATACCCTGATTGTGCAATCCTTAATAGTGTCCAGACAGTGTGGTAAGTCATGGCTAATTTAATCATTAGCAAATACTATCAACTAGAGTTAGTTAAGATCATATATCACATTCATTCTTGAACCGACAATGTTTGCATTGGCTTAACATGCAGCTAGATCAAACTAAGTGCACAGTCTTATGGCTTAGTAATGATGGGTTTAAGGTGCCCCATGTTTATGAAATCTCTGCATATGAAAGAAACATTCATAAAGATTTCAAATATTGCATGTTCCTGTACTGTAGTTCCTCCTCTACTGTAGTGATCTGTGAGAATATCTTTTGAGCCAGAGAGGAAGAGGAGGAGGAGGAAAAGGAGGAGTAGCAGACTAGGCAAGGATTAGATAAGAGGCATCTTAGCCCATAGAAAAAAATCAGGTGTGGCCAACACCTCCACTTTCCCCAGTTTCTTGATCTGTAAAGGAAGGGGAAGAGATGTGCTTTCCAAGTTGCAAGATTCTGTTAATGTAATGTAACCTAGATAAATGTGAAATACCACTCAGGCACGTATCATCACAAAATACCCAGAACCGTAAAGCCTACAAACGTGAAATTTGATACGTATGTTCCTCTTGGCTTCTAGGTGCTCACTAAGAAAGGATTTTTTGAAATAACCACCAGAGCATTAGTATTTTGTATATTATTATTATTATTAACATGCTCTGATGCTAAGGAGTTCTACTTCCCTTCATTCCAAATGCAAAACACAAGAAGAGGAGTTTCAGTTTCAGTTTTAGTTTCACAGCACCAAGCAGCTTTAGTACAGAACAGTTAAGCTAAGCCTGCCTAGGCTCCTTGCTGTCTCCTTCTTGCTCACACAGCAAATACTGTTTTAGTTTCCAAACAGCCCTCAACTCTTTCCCACACTGACAGGACACTTGCCAGATGAATATCAATGGATGCTGGTAGGCAGAGACAGAATTGTTTTCCCCTTATTTTCCTCCCCAAAAACTAAGCCCAGCCACATCATTTTGTAGCGAAGCACAGGTATCCAGCTAGTATAAGATCAATAAACTGCCCTTTTGGCCAAAGGGACCCCAATACTGAAGATTTAACAAAGTTTTGTTCAGCATATTGTTGCATAAATCAAGGAAGTGCTCACAAGACTGAATAACACATATTTGTGATAATGATGGGATAATATGACCCAAGGAGACATTGAATGGTGGAAGGTGCTTAGCCTACAGGTGTTAAAAATCTGTACCACTAAATATTTTGTTATCTGGAAATTAAACTGGGAGGCATATTGCTCAATTCTCCCCCTCCCGCCCTTATTTTCTTCCCCCAAAACTAAGCCTGACCACATAGTTTTGTAGCGAAGCAGGGGTATCAAGCTAGTCTTACAATAAAAATAATGTTAGTGCTCATGATTGGACCTTCTTATATAGACTAATTCTAAGAGGCGGCAACTTGTGGAATTGGGTAGGTCTCTAAATTGGATTAACCAAGGGGACGATACATTTAATATTACATGTATTGACTGTAGCGAGAATTGTAATTGCACAATATTGGAAAAATGAGAACACCCCCTCTGGTGAAAATATAATTAGGAAAATATTGGATTGTGCAGAGATGGCTAGACTGACATGGAAAATAAAAGATAAAGGAGATTAACTTAATTTAACTTAATGTCGAATAGGTTTTATGAATGGTTAGAGATAATAGGTAAAAATTAGATGAAGAAAGAGCAGAGTTATGTTCAAGTAAAACCAAGGACGTTGTTTATAACTATAAATATGCCAACATAATCAAAAGGATTACAAATAAGCTAATATAATTATAAATATGGTCAGAATCATTTTGTTGCACTATTACTATTGCTATCAGTATATCTGTTACTATTTCTTTTTTTTTTCTTTTCTTTGGTAAAAAGTTATGCCCGGACAATACACTGTATTCAAAATACTTATGTATAAATTTTACAAAAACCTTAACTCTAAATTGGATTAACAACAAAACATTTAAAGGTTAACTATTGAGTCTAAGACTCTCTTACTGAGTGAGATTAATTTAGCTATGGTGGAGGTTACAAGGTTGGTCTGATGTGTACTTGCAGCCAAGCATTAATGAATTGTGATGTGCCAGCCAATTTTTATCAATAATATTATCTGTACGCAAGCCAGCTTTTGTGGCAGGACTTTCTTTGGTCCTTCTATTTTAGGCCTGAACAGGAATGACACCCTACTGCATGCCTTCTTCTTCTTTTTTTTTTTTTTACAGTAGGTCAAGAATTACGATACCCTGCATGCCATAGACTGCAGCTGGTGCAGGAAAGAGGATAATATTTACCAACAGCCAAGTTTCTATTTCATGGACCTGATTTGTGGCCGATCAGCAGATTTTTTTGCTTTCAGCAATAACACCAGTGTCTGGAACATATCTACAATCCAATCTTGCGCACAACTATTCAGAAGAAGTTTCATCGAAACTTTTGAGGTTTGCTGTGTAGAATTGAACAGTAACCTAATAATCTCTGAGTGAAGGGAGTACAGGGGGGTACCAGAGAGACTGACTATGTAAACCAGAGTTTTTACAACGTGGTTTGTTGGATGCACTAAAACATATGAAGAACAGTTGCAGCTGTTCTCAAAAAGCCTCCAGTGATGAAACACCCATAACTTCTGCAGGCAAGCGGTTCCACTGCTTAATTATTCTCACTGTTAGAAAGTTTATCCTTAATTCCAGGTTGCTTCTCT